AAGAGAATTACAATTTGAAGTTTAAATTCAAATTTACAAATTCGTTATTTTTAAAGTAATTTTAAATAGTAAAGTCAAATTGGTATGGAAAAATTGCTTTACTAGCAACAGCCAATATTAGTGGATTTGCCTAAAATTGTGATAAAAATCTGTTAATGATAATTAAAAATGAAAAACCAATAGGAGAGTGAAATAATACCGACTCGTCAGGGGGAATTAGCTTATTTCACACTCCCCTTAATCATTCAAACATCATGTTTCGTTCTTGCTATGCATGTGCAAATCGAAAGTAAAAATGAAATTAAATGTAAGTATTTAATTCCCCACATTTAGCACAGTCATATGCATATCAAGAATTCCCCTACACAATGTAAATTAATTCAAATTATTTGGAATGAAAAACCTTACTTAAATGCAAATGTACTTTTAGAACAAAACATAAGTATCAAACCAATGAGATGAGCAAACATGTAAAAATGGGAAAATAAAACATTATAATGTAAATGTAACAAGGATAAAACATGATGTTTGAACGATTGAGGGGAGTGTGAAATAAGCTAATTCTCCCTGAAAAGTCGGTATTATTTCATTATCCTATCAGTTATTGCTTTTTAATTATCAATAACAAATTTTTATCACAATTTTATGCATATCCGCTACTATTGGCCATTGCTTCTAAATTTTTCCATACCACTTTGACATTTACTATTTAATATTTTTGAAAAATTTAATATTTAAAAATAATGAATTTGTAAATTGGAATTTAAACTTCAAATTGTAATTCTCTTAATTTAATTTTAAACAATAGAATTTTAATAGGAGTAATTCCCTTTAATTATAATTACATTAAATTAAATTATTGCAGCCTCGCCGCAGGATTCTTAATAGTCCTTATTACATTTAATTATTTGTTAATATTTTTATGTATAGTATATACAGTGAAATGTGTTTAACGCGAAAACGCTTAAGATGAAATATCGGTTAAAATGAAACAATACAATGGTCCCGAAAAACTACTATGTATTTTCATGCATTTTGTTTCTCTTAACACAAAACAAAAACACGGAAAACAAAACAGGGAAAACACCGGCCTAAAACAAGATTTAAGAAGGGTGTGAAATGAAAGAGACGTGGTTTCACATGTTTCATAGAAAGGAGGCTAACTTGGCTTTGAAATACCCTCGGAATAGCCTGCGACACAAGCCAGTTTTGTTTATCTAAACTACTTTCATCATCCACACCTCTACAAATGCTATACAAACTTTTCATCTCTCATCAGTTGGCTTTGGAATTCGGTGACGAGAACATCACAGTGGGAGTAAAAATCTGCGAGTTTGGTTCATATGTCGCACTTTGCATGTCTCTGTCTCTTCATTTATTGCACTCTGCATGGAATTCAATGACTCCAAAGATGATTGAAAATTGTTTTTGTCATGCACGATTTTCAAAAGGATCAGATTCTTTGGCGCCAAAAGAAATGGAGAAGAGTGTCGAGTCGACACTTAATGAAGTGTTTGAGAAAATTTGTATTATTGGACTGTCCTACTGTATTATTCGAAGAATTCATTGCAGTAGTTGATGATAATGTGTATACAGTCCTAATTATGGCAGACAAAAGCATTTTGAAGTTTCTTCAAAAATCAAAAAATACCATTGATGCAGATTCCGATGACGAAAACGAAATGAATAATGCAGCTCCTGTTCCCATGTCATCCAATATGAGGAACATCATGAAAAGTATGCACATTTATTTAGATGTACATTCCAATGTGAAATGAATAACAAAATGAATGATATCATCAATTTGTTAACAATTTGATGCTAAAAAAAGACAATGTAAAGTAAAATATCAGATTATTTTCCAAAAACTCAATAAATGTTTTGTTTTTCAAAAAACCTGAAAATTTTGTATTAAATTTCATAAAGTTCTTGTGGATATTTTTTTCATTGATTTTTATTATATACATGCATATATACATATCTATGTAAATAAAATGTACTCTAATAAACATAATTTTGTTGAATATATGTTTTTTTTGGGGGGGGCAATATCCTTTAACATGAAAAAATATATCAGTCCCCTCAGTTTCGTGTTAAACGATTTTCACTGTATATGCACAATGATAAGTTACTTTATTATCTTAGGCTCAAATTATAATATATAAATATTTGCAGACAACTCACTTTTCTTCATCACTGATTGCATGGCTGCATGTATGTAAAAGAAAAATCTTATAAAACTCACATTTTTATTGCAAGTACTGATACATGTGTTTAAAGGGGGAAAAATCAAAGTACTGAACATTGTTCTTTAAATTTGATTCATGATAAATGTAAGTATTTTAAAAACTTATATTTTAAAACAGTAAAGCAACATACATAATCTAGATGCAGAATTATGGCATCAAAAGAAGTCAAAAACTTAAGATAAATTTTCATCATAAAATAGATAAATATTTATCATGTTTTTAATCAATAAAACTTAATTCAAATTGAAAATATTTTCCAGAAAATATATTTTGCAATCTAAAAATATGTACAGACTCATTCATTTTTAATTCAGTAACAATTTATCTTCATTTGTCTTGTTACAGTGACTTGTCACACTATTATTACTACTACTGCTATGTAAGATACTGTAGTTCACATCTTCTCTCATCTTGGAAAAATTGCTGCTAGATACTGGAAGAATGTGAATTAGAAGTACAGTCTGACAAGTCATCTTTCTCATCTGACTCTGGTAAGTAAAATAATCGAACGAAGTAAAAAAACTTCCCCAATCCAGTATTTAGCAAGTGACAGCACAGGTTGGAAATAGCTTGGTGATAACATGTAATGTGTTTACCTAGCACAAATAAAAATCTCTCGTACATTTTTATCAATGAACATTATATAAATAACCTTTCAGATGTATTCATTCTGATTAATCTAGACACTTACCTCAAGAAAAATAGCAATCATACACATCCACAGCTTCTTAACAATGTTCTAAAGAAGATTTATCCAAGTTTGGTGTAAAGATAAGCCTTCTTGTTAATTAAATTCTGACTTGCTAGATTTAAGATTTCTTGCAAAATTCTGTTAAAAGCATGGATTCATCAGCTATGAATATTGCCAAATTGTGGATTATTCTTCAGGAGACATAGTGTTTACTGTATTCAAACTCCACAAAAAGCTTGTGAAGTCAGTATCTCATCTCATTTCTACAGCTCCATGGGTGCAGCTATCACATCTTATGAAGACATAGATACTACAGTACAAAGTCTGTAATCTGGACGTCCATTATCCAGAATAATCTATATTCCGGACCTCAAACTTTTTTTTTTTGTATGCTTTACACATGCGCGCAATGCGTTTACACATGCCCGTTTAATGTATAATGGATGGTATAAGCTAGGCTAAAATTATCTTTACTGATTCTAAGGCATTTCAGTTAATGTTGCAGATTTCCCTGTTCCTTAATCTTCTAACTGGATCCGACTTATTATTTTTTTTGCAGACTGTTAAAGCAATTTTATAAAAATTAAACTTGAACTTTCGATTATGTCAAAAAGAGTTTCTGATTCTGGAGCTGCCAAAGGATTTACAAAGTGAAAGCATGTTTCGATGTCTATCAAACAAAAAGTGGAATTGCTGTAAAAAATTGATAAAGGCATACCTGTCTCAAAATTATGCGAGAAGTATCACATTGGAAAGTCAAAAGCATATGACTACCGCTTCCGATAGCGAAGAAAGTGACAGAGAGGTTATTGAAAACGAAAAAGTTTCGATTGACAAGTCAATCGGTATTCTCGACACAGCAATTACAGGAATTGAACAGTGGAACTTTGTAACTAAATAAGAAATTATGTCTGTTTATAGAATTAAAGAGAAAGTATTAGCACAAAAAACGAAGCAACTTAAATAACTTACATTGAAAGAAATGTGTAATAAAGTAAACAAATAAATATTAAGCTTTTTTTTTTAATAAATTTTGATACGCTTTAGATCATAAGTGCTCTTTTTTCATAAATTATGGTTTCATATTTTTAATTGTATAATTTCTGCATGCCATCTTACGAGATTTAAATTGATGATCTATAATCCAGAAAAACCCCTAATCCGGAATCGCCGAAGTCCCGACAAGTCTGGATTACAGACTTTGCACTGTATTTTCTCTGACATTTTTTTGAACTAGAAAGATTTTAAGTTTTACTAATGTTTATTTTACTTTAAACTTTGCTATCCTATCTTATTTTCCATTTCCGGCCAGAATAAGCATGAGAAGGATTTTTATGCTAATGAGTTTGCAAACTGGAAAAAGTACTTAAGATACGGCTTTTAGCCAAAAGAGAGAAAGCCTTCCTGTTGCCCTGCTACGTGTGTGCTTTTCAGTCAATTTGTGTCTGCCTTTAAGGCCAGAACTTAGTTCCTGCTGATATACTAGATGTATTGTAGAATTTGCACTGGGCTCACTACATACATAGTGTCACAAGCCAATCTTCACTTTAATAGATTCTGTAAAGCATTTAAGTTTAGTTCTTATTTAGTTAAGTTAGTTATTAAGTGAATATTTCTTTATTTTCTACGTTTTAGACCAAAAGTGTTGGTCTCTGTATCCCGAAGTGCAGAAGTGCTTGTACACTGCGAGAAATAAAGGGTTAAGATAACTTCACTTGTGTTGTCTATTCCACGCACACATGAACTCCCTTTTCCTACTCAGGATTACACTGATGTTTCCCAAGGCAATTAGAAGGAACCTGATTCCTGATAAAACTACTATTAAATATATAAATGCAAATAAAGAATCTTAATTAAAAAAATGTTGCAAATTCTTCCTTTTTAATAATACAGATTACAGACAATTAAAAAACAGCACATTTAGCATAAAAGTAGAGGTAATCAAAAGTCAACACATTTTGAATAATATATATTTTAAATACACACACACTATTTTTGAAACAGATCAAGTGATAGTAAAAAAATGAGTTAAAACGTTCATACTGCTTAAAAATTACTACCTCGTAGAAAGCTGTCTTTGTATAGCACGGCGTGACTGATCCTTTTCAATAGGAAAATGTGGTACTTCATAGGGTGCTGAAATTTCTTTTCCTTTTGCAGCCTCCATAGAATGATGAATAATAGTTTCTGCTACCTTTATATAGCTTTCATCAGCTTCAGTGGACTGTAAAACACTGGGAACTTCATAAACGAAAACTGGAGAATCACTTCCTAGAAAAAAGACAATATCCATTATACTGAAAAAATAAATAATTAAAAAGTGGAAACATTAAAAGAAGAAATTAGAAGTCTCATGCCAGTATAAAATGAACAACATAAAGAAAGATATTGTTATGAAAATCTGGGGTTTTGTTTTCGAGTATGTACATATTTGTTCCTTTTCATATATGCATCGAAAAGGTGATTAACTATAAAGACAAAAGCTACTTTGGTTCAATATATGAAATTTACTACTAAATAACATTTGTTGCTTCTGAACACTAAATACTTTCTGATTATCTGCACACAGGGTTCATAGCCACATTTTAGTTAAAAAAATAAGCACCTATAAGCATTTTTCAAGCATATTTTAAGAAAAAAATAAGCACCTGTCTAACTACATCATATATAACTGCATAACCTTAAAAATTATACTTTAATTTAAAATATGAGAAATGAAGTACTTATTAAGAGAGAATAAGCATTACCTCAACCATGGAAAATAATTACTTTTTTTGTTTTTAATTTTCAATAATAGTTCAATTTACAGAACTAGTTTACAATGAGAGAAAAAAATCTATGAAGAACTAAACTATATTACAAGATTTAATGATGAAATTTCAGTTCAAAATAGAGAAAATAAATAATAATAAGGCATATACTTATTGTATTCGCTTGGAACCTAATAATAAATACAATTTATTTTTCTACTCATATTGATATTTAAATAATTTAATTCTAAATTCTGAACATTTTCTAAATTTTCATTGTATATCAGTTTTTTCTTAAGAGATATTGCAAACAAAGTAATTTAAGTAAAAAAGAGGAACATTTCTGAAATCAGAAGATAGAAATTTGCTTCATGCAATCATCTTTAACAGTTAAAAGCTTAACTAACTGGCATACTTGAAAATATTCGGACAGTCGAGCGTAACTTGAAGGAGCGGAGGGGGGGGTGGTAGACTGTAGCCGCTCTTTAGATTTTTCCGCTAAATATTTATATTCCGCTAAATATTTATTTCCGCTAGATATATTCCGCTAGATATATTCCGCCAAGTATTTCCGCTAGATTTTTCCGCTGAATAAATAATGCTTTTGACATTTCAATATGTGCATCATATAAAAATAAACCAACGGAACTAAAAAATATTCTGCTTAGCAAGCACATTAAAACTCTTTTAAGTGTTCATAAACAAATCTCGGACCGAACATCAAAATTAATTATCTCTGCAAAATATTGCAAACGTTATTGCGCAATACGTGCGCCGTAATTCTTCCCTACGTGATATTACGCAATCGGAATCAACAACTGCCGGTATTGGGAGAATAAAGAAAATTTTCAACAGGCGGCGTTAAATTTCAGGAATAAAATCATTCTTCGCTTGGGTTGGTAGACCGTAGAACTTTTAGTCCTATTCAATCCAGATTGGAAAGTGACCCCAAAAAAAAAACTTTGTTTTGCAGTGAACTGTAACAGTTTCAATATTCAAGATTTTGCGGAGAAAGGGGAGACCTCCCAACCTTCATACTGTATAATGTATTGGCTAAAAAAATGAAACTATTTTGACTATTCGATTACTTTCCCTTTATTTAAGCCATTCCGAATATTATTCCTTAGAAAGCTAATCTGTGTTAAAACACAACCATTTTTGGAAGTTTACTATACTTCAGTTACTGCAACTATGTTATTATAAACATTCATACATATGCTCATAATATAAGCATAACGATCATAATAAACACGAATATGAACTGAACCACGCGGAACGAGAATTTAAATCGTATTAAGAATCTTGATAGAAACTCAAACGTGTGTAGTATTTTGGGGTGGGAGGAAGAAGAATGCCGAATGTATCGGAAATTTCTACCGCTTTCGCAATTCTTTGACCAATAGAACGACGGGCACCACATGTCTGTACTCTTCGTGCCCGCACCAAATGGTTATGTTAATGCAGAGAAAGGGGGAAAAAGCTATTTCCGGGAGTATGACTCACCATCTGACATTCCATATTAGAGAAAAGTTGTTTATTTAGTTTCGGCTTTGGTACGGGAAAAATAGCGCGTTCATTAAAAAAAAAAAAAAAAAAAGCACTAAAAGCAAAAAATAAGCACTAAAAAAAAAAAAAAAAAAAAAAAAAAAAAAAAAAAAAATAAGGGCCTTTAAAGAAAAAGTAAGCACCTATAAGGGCCTTTATATTTTATTTTCAAATATAAGGACTTATAAGCACTTATAAGGACCGCTACGAACCCTGTGCACACCTGCCAAAAAGTCACAAAACAATTTCATTAGGCAAAGCAGTATGTTACAAAAAAGTATTTATGTGACAAACCACATACGTGCATAGCTCACTTCTCTTGGCTTCAGTGCAATGTCCATGTTGAGTCTGGGTTATTCCCTGATTTTTAATCGAGATTAAAAATAGATTATTATGTACATGGGAAGAACAACAATGGGAAACAAAAAAAGAATTTTTTGAAAAAGGTACATGTATTACCAATATTTCTTGCTTTTTAAATTTTATAGTTTGATTTCTTTTATATGGAATTCTTAGTGTGCTACTATTTTGAGAATGATCATTGCCTTTATCAGCATGGCAAAAAATTTATTGCCAATAATCTGTGAATGCTTTCTAAAGTCAGCAATGAGTTTGCAACTTCTTTTATGGATGGGGGATGCATATAGTCAGAAAGTACTGAAACAGTATATGTTACTAATATATGTTTGATTAAGTATAAATGTGATTAAGTGCAGCAGGAGTATAAATATTAGAAATTTTAGAGATAATTTTATAAAATATATATATATATATACCAGAAAAAACAATTTAGCAAGAAAATTATACAATTCCATTAAAATACTCATTTACCATTTATAATAGAAAGCAGAAAGATGCAAATTTTGGTATTTACGTATTGTCCTATCGACAATGAGAGCTGGCTATCATCAAGTTATGAAAGCTAGTGAAGATCCCGCCAAAGTTGCACCAATCATTCCTAAAAATTCTGAAGCAACTGAAAGCTCTTTATTTGATAAACAATCAGTATTCAATCTGCTTTGATTATGTGCTCCATGAAAAGGATATCATCAATTTCTGCTATTATTTTAGGCACAACGATTCTACCGGAAGCTCTACTTAGAATACTAAACGTACAAAACTCCCTCATGCTAAAGGTGCTTCCCTCATGCTCAGAATACAAAAAAGTCTGATCTATTACAGTTTTGTCGGCCATAAGCAACTGGCCATATCAAGTCCAGTTAATCTATAGTTTTAGGGTGGCTTTTGGATTATCGCCAAGTTGTTGTTTCATTTATGGTAACCTGAGTAGTTGAATGTTATGGAAACCATGTTATGACGTGATCGCTTGCATGATTGCGGCGAATTTGAACGATGCGAATTCAGGGCTTATTTCTGCATTGGATGCCAGTTAGGAAGTCGTTTGCTCTTTTTGTGCTGTACACCATAAAATGGCTATATATGATGAGATTAATGTGAAGTTTCTGTACAATTTGGAATGAAAGAGGAAAAAGCATTAATTGACTGCTGTGTAAATGAAGGTTTACTTAGCAGTCATTCTAAGTGACCTGGTTGTATGTTATTTCATTGTGTGATTTAAAATGCACTTTACTGATCTTTGAATGGCTACAAATTTTAATTTGATTTTTGTTGCTTAATTTTGTTCAATTTTGACAATGAGTAACTTTAACATTATATGACTTCATCATTTTCTTAATTTTCTTAAAGTGAAAATAGATCGATGAGTAGATGGAGGAAGTGAAGGGAATGTGCAATTCTCTGATTTTTTTTTAAGTGAAATTTTTTAAGTAAATAGATCGATGTGTTTGCACAATTCTTTTACTTGCTATTTTGGTTTCCTGTAGCTGCCATCTTGAAATTGTGCCTTGCTATCAATCACCAAAAATTGCCAATTTTTGCAAAAGGGGCACCCTGAAATATATTTTTATATAAGTCCATAATTTTATGGGGATTAATACATAATTTTTTTATGGGACGATTCGATAACTTTGAAAAGAATCCACTCCTAAGAATGAATCATCCCTCCTAACAGCAATAACAGTTAATATATATCCTCCTTCATAAAAAAAGTGACTTATCAAGAATCAATTGGGGTTCCATCTAATGAAAGAAGAGATGTTATGAAAATGTTATATCATGTTTATCCATAATTGGTGCCAAATTGCACTGTTTGGCAGTAGTTTCAAGTTAACAGGATAATCTGTAAGCACCCAAACTTTATATTTAAAACTATACAATTTAGAAATTTTTCATTAGGTAACTGATTAATTACAGACTGATAAAAAAAAACTTTCCACCTTTTAAGATATTGATCACATTTTAAATTCATATAACTTTCTATAAAACTCAAACTAAGGTGAATTTTGCCTAATTTAAAAATACAGTCAAAAGTCGTTAATCCGGACTCGTCGGGACTTCGGCGATTCCGGATTATCGATTTTTCCGGATTATAGATCATCAGTTTAAATCTCGTAAGATGGCATGCAGAAATTCTAAAATTAAAAATATGAAACCGTAATTTATGAAATAAAGAACAATTATGATCTAAAGGGTATCAAAATTTACAAAAAAAAAAGCTTAATATTTGTTTGTTTACTTTATTAAACATTTCTTTCAATGTAAGTTGTTTTAAGTTGCTTCGTTTTATGTGATAATACTTTCTCTTTAATTCTATAAACAGACATAATTTTTGTTCAGTTACAAAGTTTCCGCTGTTCAAGTCCCGTTAATTGATGTGCCGAGAATACCGACTAACTTGTCAATCGAAATTTTTTTTCGTTTTCACTGAACCTCTCTGTCACATTCTTCATATCTTTATCCATTTTTTTGCAGCAATTCCACTTTTTGTTTGACGGACATCGAAACATACTTTTTCGTTTGCAGATCCTTTGTTAGCTCCAGCATCGGAAATTCTATTTGACATAATCGAAAGTTCAAGTTTGCTTTTATAAAATTGCTCTACAGTCTGCAAAAAAT